GGGCATTTTAGGACTTGCGTCAATGATGGTACCACAATTCATTACATTGAGTGAACCAATAAGACATCTCACGAAAAAGGGCGTTCCAATCATTTGGGGCGAGTCTCAAATGAATTCCTTCAACTCCATCAAAAATGAATTGTGTTCTGACATATCACTTGGTTATTTTGATGTGAGCAAACGTACAACACTTACCGTCGACGCAAGCCCTGTCGGTGCAATATTAAGGCAAGGCGACACCTTAACTAGCTGTGCCAGCAAATCCCTTTCGGAAACTGAAAAACGTTAGTCAACTCGAAAGAGAAGCGTTAGCCATTTACTTGGAAATGGATCACCATCGTTTGTATCTTGATGGTTCTCCAGAATTCGTTGTTGAAAGTGATCATAAACCGCTTATAAATATCTTTAACTGCAAAGAATTACATAAAATGTCGAGTCGTGTTGAACGATGGGTGACTAAAGCGCAAAGGTTTAAATTCACTGTTGTGTACAGACCCGGAGTTAACAATCCTAGCGATTATATGTCCCGGCACCCTCTACGTCAAACTTGTTCTACTGACAAAGGGTCTGACGAATGTTTCATTCGTACAAGAAAATACAAAACCTCGTGCAATTTGTTGTTTTAAATTTGCTACAAACAACTATCCAACTCTAATGTTTGTTATATATTGTTTGGAAACTAATAATTGGCATAAAATCCCGGTAAGCGTAAACGGTGAGAGGGTTCATATATTTAAACAACTTAAACACGAACTATGCTTTTACGACGGAATTTTACTTAGAGGTTCGCGAATCGTTGTACAGTCTTCACTCAAAACTCAAATGATTTGTACGGCACACAAAGGTCATTTAGGCGTTTCAAAAACGAAAGCGTTGATGCGAGAGAAAGTGTGGTTCCCGGCAATGGACTCGTTAGTTGAAAACGCTGTAGCCAGTTGTCACGCATGCCAATTAAATGTAGACATGAAAGTCCGTGAACCACTAAAACCGACACCATCACAGAAATTAGTGTTGCCACATCTGGCCAATATTTGGTGGTGGTAATTGATGAATATTCTCGATTTCCAGAAGTAGAAATAACAAATTCTACAAGTACGGCGAAAGTTGTACCAAAGCTGGAAAAAATGTTCACGTCCTACGGATACCCGGCAAATTTAAAAAGTAATAATGGGCCTCCATACAATTCCCGGGAGTTTAAACTATATGCTCGACGTTCTGGTTTCAAACACCAGAAAATTATACCAGAGTTTGCAAGAGCTAATGGTTTGGCTGAGAATTTTATGAAAAATCTTGGCAAAGTCATTCGATGTTCTCTTATCCAGAGAAAAGATTGGAAATTTGAAATGCTTAAAATAGTGATGAATTATCGTGCTACCCTCACCCGTCAACTGGCAAAACACCGGCTGAATTAATGTTTGGTCGCAAAATCAAAGTAAAATTACCTGATTTCGAACTGAGAGATTCTGATAAATTTAGTATCGAAAACGAGGAAAGACGAATGCATAATAAAAGCATGCTAAAAAACAAACGTTGTCACGATAATCACAGCAAGCAGAGTTAAATTCACAAAGTTCAAAGAAGGAGAGAGAGTATTAGTCAGAAACACAAGACGAACAAAATATGAACCATGTTATAGGAAAGAAATATTTGAAATTGATAATGTGAAAGGAAGCATGATTTCCGCGACAAATAAACAAGGTAAAAATATAACGCGTGATAAATCGCATTTTAAAACCTACCATGGTTGTGATAATAGTAATATTAATATAAATGAGTTTTATGAAGATCTTGAAATAGAAAGATTTCTGCGAGAAATGGCCGATTGTAAAGCTAATCTTTACGCCTGCGCAGAAAGACATTGCACAATCACCACACGCATTAAGTACGCAACAAAACACAGATTCCACACCACAAGTAGACACACACACTGAAGAAGAACCAATCGTACTTAGGTCTGGGAGAATTAGGAAACCCAATGTTAAACCTGATTATTTATACTATTGAATTCAAATGACTATGTATCATGGAATTGTATTTAAATGTATGTTTTGAATATAAAAATCTATAAATTTAAAATAAATAAATAAAAATTATAAAATGAAATAACAAAAAATACATATGTAATTTGTGTATAACGTTAATGTATCGCATTAAGAAAAATTGAGTACCAAATGTCGTGTATATTTCAGATTT